AGCAAATTGGCCGGGCCGCACGTCATCTTCTAGTGGGCCAGACCCTCTAGTCCGGGCCAGCCCAATCCTAACCGTAAGGGTATAGGGGTTAATACCCCCACAAAGGGAGTAACAAATTTGTTGAATGGCATAACTTGATTACAACAATTGTAGATGTGCAATTAAATGATAGGGGCACTGAGTTTGCATGAATCTGTATATAAATCAATGTATAATTTCCTTGTCAACAATGGTATTTGGATTATGAGCAATGAATTTGGGCATATAAAATACCACTAAAGAACAAGATCTTCGTGTGGCATTTAAAAATGGTTGTTATTAATATTCTAACATGGATAGCTCAGCTAGATGGAACTGGAATGGCCAATGGGAGTAGAATTTTTTGTAGTCATTTCAAAACCATCCAACATCTCTTCTTTAATTGTCATTATGCTATGTTTCTTTGGACTACCATCCATATTGGGTTTAACATTAATAATATATACAGTTGGCATATATAAAAATTTCATTGGATTATTGGACGGGAGGTATCAAATAATAGTTTGAAGTTATTGACATGGGCATTTGCATTGTTTGTGCACTTTGGCAACACAGGTTTGATCAATGTCAACCAAAAATTACATGCACGAGGCTTATTCAGGAGGACATCAAAGAAGAACAAAAGGAGTTGATGATTCTTGCATAACGTACATTGGAATCAATGGCCATGCAAATTTTCTCCTCCATGGATGGACGGAGTTCCTTTAATATATAGAGTTAGTCAATAATGTGAAACTCTTCTTTGTTTGGCTTTTACTCCACCACATGTCAGTGGTACTCATAGTTTATGCTACACATCTTTGTAATAGCTAATTTTAACTAAATGCCTCTTTGAAAGAAGAGGTTGAAGCTGGAAATGTTATTGTTATCTAAAAAGTATATAAAACCAATTGTTTGGATCAATATATAGAAACTTAACTGTTGATGTTTGTTCCATGCCCTTTCTACACATTACATATTAATGAAATGATTTGATGTAGGGACATTATATGTATAAATTTGTACTGCAAATGCACAGAGCCTGCCCGACCAACCAAAACAACTCATGTGGTGCAACTCGTCCGCCCCGTGCCGTGAATACTTCTTTGAACTTGTTTCGATGACTTTTTCAAAAACAATATGCCAATTATAACTAGTGGCAACCTGCGCTCTGACGACTAGTTTCAACTCGACAGCTAAATATTTTTTAGCGAGCCGCACGCTGACGACTACTTTCTACTGATTTATTTTTAAAAAAAATTGTACCTAGACTTTTTGTCGTGCCTTGAGCTGATAGCTGGTTCATCTTTTTTTTTTAAAAAAAAATAACCCTATTGCAACTGGTAAGAACCTGTAATAGGTAAATAGACTTTTTCAGCGCCGTGCATGGCAATTAATTTCGACTGGTTTCCACCAACTTTCCAAAAGCTCAGTTTCAAGTACTTTGAGTTGACAAAAGAATGCAATTTCAGCATCGTACCAAGTTAAAGTATCTTAAGTTTAGGCAGTTGTATAGTGAAAATAGCAATATTTATAATATCAAATAAATTCATTAGGTTTGTCATGAAATATATTTTCATACTATAATTTAAACATTAACATTTTTTGCCCTGCCAGATTCAGCCACGACAACCTAGATGGAGAAGAGATGGCCCCGCCGTCACGTTCATAGCACCCGTACGAGCTAGCGGCGTGCTTCGACGGCGGCGAGACAGAGCAAAGAGGAGGGGTTGGAGGGTTTCTAAGCCAAGAAGGGTTGGTTGGGGCAAAGGTCATTGGCGCGTTGCTCATGAGTGTCTTCTTTTAGTAGTTTTGGCATATTGATATCTAGCAATTGTGAACAAAAAATATCGATGTGCAAAACCATCCGGTGCTTTTTTGAAGATTAATTAATCCGCTCCAGCTGTTCATTGGGTCCAAATTATTGTTTTCCTAATTCGATGGACCTTTGCATATTCTCGAGGGGTAGAAAAGATGAATCTTCATATATTATGATCATGATTATATCATATAGTCTTTGGTCTTGGAGACGCAATTCAGCTTTGTCAAGAGTTGATAAGACAATTATGACGACATCAGGATCAGTCCTTTGATATCCGCAACTTTTACTTTAACGCTTTTTCTCGGTAGAAGCAAGGTATATATGCCATGAGTCTGTCTACTACACAATCATGTATTTTATGTAGTTTCAACATATGATTTTTTTACACCATAGGATTAAGATCGAACAGCATCCACCCTTCTTCTACCTCCAGCCTCCACAGATCACATATCATAGATCACATATCACAATTTTTTTTCTAGGGAAGGACAAATCACAGATCCGCCGCCGCCGCCGCCGGGGCGAGCTCGCCGGCACCGGGTGGCCACCAGTGAGAAAGAGAGAGTGAGAGAGATAAAAAAAATCCATGTGGCCGTACCGTGGTAGCTTTTGGCATACAGAAATGATATACTACACATGTGTTTTAGTAAAAAACACATGTATGCGGTATATCATTTTTGTATGCCAAAAGCTACCACGGTATGGCCGTAAGCGTTTTCATTCGTTGTCCTCAAATCACATTCAGATGTATGCACCTCACGCGACACGCGTGCTTTGTGTATTTTGAATGACTCAGTTTAACAAATTTGTTTTTTTTTGTTTTGCGCAAGCAGTTTAACAAATTTGAAAACAATTATTTCGTTTCACTGCTGATTTTTAAAAACCACCGGAGTACACGTGCGTCGAAGCCAAAGCTAACAAATACATGTAGCAAAAGAAAACATGACAGACAATTAAGGATTCAACGAAGCGAGGAGGCCAATGGAGCTGGACGGCTCGATCGATCAGTCTAGTTGTCGGCGACGACGGAGCGGATGACCATCTCGCCTTCTGCGGCGGCGGCGGCGCCCGTGACGATGGTCGCCTGGCAGAAGACGATCTTGAGCTCCCCGGGGGCGCGGCAGCTCTGCGGGACGGGCTCGACGTCGGTGGGCGTGGTCCTGGTGAGCGGGCACCGATTCTTGAAGTACTCCGGTGGGCCACGGCACGCCTCACCCTCGGCGGCGCGCTGCGGAGGAGGGCAGTCGGAGTTGAGGTCGACGGGGCACCCCAGCGCGGGGCACTGCCCGCCGCCGGCGATCGCCTGCGGGCTGACCACGACGGGCACGTTAAAGCCGTCGACGAGGCTCACGCTGTACGCGGCCTGGTCCAGGCTCCCGCCGTCGTGGACGCTGACCTGCACGACGGTGGCGGGCGGCGCGGCGCCCGTCCAGCATCCCGACGCCGCGGCGTCGCAGCCCGTGCGCGCCGCGACGCGGCCGGCCCAGAAGGTGGGCGGGAAGGTGAGGGAGAGCAGCGCGTTGGGGTCGAGACGCGCGGTGTTGTCGGAGATGGAAGGGAGGCCCGAGTTCGGGGTCACCAGCGGCCACACCGGTTGCGGGCAGAGGTTGTGGATGGTCAGCGTGGTCGCCGTCGTGGCGCCGGCGCTGGCGGCGAGGAGAACAGCGACGAGGACCAGGGTTCTGGCCATGGCCTTAATCTTCAGTCCTTGACAGAGCTGTGAGCTCGCTATAGCTGGTCGTGTTGTTAGGCGTGAGTTTGTGACACAATGGCAAAACATCAGACAGGTCTGCCTGGCTTTTATAGGCGAGCTTAGTGATGTGACGACGTCCATGAGAAGGGTCAAATTAGAGAAAAAGACCTTTAATGCTAGTACTAGTAGATTAACGGCTATGGTTTTCAATATACTCCTACGAGAGCTAGTATCGACAATCGTTTTATTTAATCAAAACGGGGGAAAAGAAGAGGTGCATAACAGCACACAACTTGAGTGAGGACATGGACAAAAGTAAAAGCAAGAGAACAAGATTGCTTCTTTACACTTTGCTGAACTGAAGGTGTGTTCACAAGTTTGCTTGATTCGATTCCATGTTTAGATAAAGTTGAGAAAAGAAAGAGCTCACTCTTAACGTACAGCTTGTGCTTATGCTCTAATCTGCAGTCTGCACTGAGGTTAGCAAGCTGAGAGCGTAAAACGAAAGACCATTCACACTTCACCATGGCATTCTCATATGCTCAACAAATGATATGATATGTTGGTAGCAGAAAGCAGATCTCCACACCATAGTACAATTCATAAACCACACCCAACTCAATTTGCCTCTGCCAACCCCTGCAAAAACCACTTCAAAGACCTACATAACTCTTTGTTTCTTCACCCGCCCAGCTCCTGATAAACCGAAATGGAGCAGCATGTATGTAGATTACCAAAAACAAGGTGTGAAAAACCACAGACACCCGCTGCTCCGATAACAACCAGAAATAAACCAATGCACGCACAGACTTGACTTGTACAAATAGCGCGCGGTAGCAGACCGGATAGGACACAAGTTTTGCCCCAAAACAACTCTTACAAAACATACCGACGATGAATGAAATGCAATGACAATGCAAGTGGATAAAGGGAAAAGAATGCTAGGAAATTAACAGCCTACTACCAGCAGGGAGGGATATGTATGACATAAATGGACTTGGCCACCCTGATCGATACAAAAATAATCATGTGACAATCCGTTTGAGCCCACTCTTGCGTACTGGAGCAGCAGCAAGCAACTGGGCCTTTTGTCCCAGGTGACCATCCGACCAGAGTTCGATGCATGGGACCAATGCAGCGGGGAATGATAGGCCACAGTTCTTAGGCATGCCATGCCGAGGAAACTGTCAGCATGTCAATGCGACAATAGAAGCTCATCTCACCTCCAATAAGAAATGAAGGTTGCAGATGCCTTTAGCAAAAGTTAGCAGGCGGCCAACTTGAACCCTCTTTTCTCGCAGAAGCGGGAAGCATGGGTTGACACATGTACTGGATGCATGCGTTAGTGAGGACCCTCCGACTCTGCTGTAAAGATGTTGGACTTCTCCGAAGAGCAGGTCTGGACATGATGCAATCAACGACCCAGACAAGATGACATGCGGATGGATGCAAGTGCAGACTCGAGACTCAGTGTGAACCCGAAACTGCACGGCTGATTGCTATCCTCGCCCACTCGGCAGATTCTTTCACCAAAGGATCATCTGATGCCAAGCATTCCTCTAAAAATGCCTGGCTTGAGGTGGATTGATTGATCAACGGGCCAGCATGGACACCCAATGTGTCGGCCAGATCTCCCAAGACACCTATTGCAGTCTTCATCACAGTGTCATCCCTGCAAAAGAGGTATAACATCATAAAGCATTAGGTCAACAAAAACAGATGACTCATATAAGTTAGACAGCAAAGGTAAAGAATCAGAGTGTGAAGTTTTGGCGTACAAACCCTTTCCATTGTACAGAGCATCAAGGAACTGAATAATATGTGGAGCATATGGCATCAGTAGTTGTGTCTTAGGTGAAGTCTTAAATCCTTGCAGGATACCAGAGTAGGCTTCCAAGATTCCATTCCTTAGCTGGTTGGTGTAGTCGAGCATCTCATCATCAGTTGCGGTGGTATGGGCCGACAAATCAGCAGCACTTTGCAGCATAGGCATCGCATAGATCAAATACATCTCGAAGTTCTCCCCAATTGCCAGTGCAATATCACCAAAGCACGAAAAATATCCTCAAATACTTAACTGCTCTGTGGCGGGGATAACTGACTGAAGCGGCTAGTCACCCCGCAGAGTGCTGACTCAACCTCCTAACGGTTCGTTTTGAATGAGATGGTATAAATACTTCCTCTATTCATTCAAGGGTGGACTCTTGCCCATTTGATCAACTGTAAAACACCTTTGTGAGTGCTAAGTAGAGCCAGAGCCTAGTGAGGTGATTGAGATTTGAGAATCCAAGATTAAGGCCTCATTAGTGCATGGAGAGTAGCAAGTGTGCATCTACCCTTCTCATTAGGCTTGTTGTGGTCAAGTGAGAGTTTATGCTTGTTACTCTTGATGATCGCCATCACCTAGATGACTTGGTGGTGATCGGAAGTTTAGTGATCATCCGGCGGAGCTTGTGGATGACCCAACTCAAGTTGTGACCGGTTGTGGACGATTCACCACGACGAAGTGTCGAAGAATCAACCCGTAGAGAGCACTTGATCCTTGCGCGGATCAAGAGGGAGCTACACCCTTACGCGGGTGCTCCAACGTGGACTAGTGGGGAGTGACGAGTCTCCGATACCTCGGTAAAACATCATCGCGTTCCTTCTCCTCTGTTTACTTTAAGCATTTACATTTGAACAATTCATTTTTTGTCTTTACATTCTTAGAATTGCCCTGCTAGAGTAGGATTCAAACTTAGAGTGCTAAACTTTTATATGGTAGATCAATAGAATTACTTTCTAGACACTAGTGGTGAAGTGGGCTAAGTATAGGGTTTAATTATCGCAAAGAATTTTAGAATTAGCCCAATTCACCACCCCTCTTAGGCATCTTGATCCTTTCAATTGGTATCAAAGCCTCGTGCTCACTAATTAGGCTTAACCGCCTAGAGAAAGATATCCCACAGGGATGGACCTCCTGCTATCTTTGAGGGAGATGATTTTCCTTACTGAAAAATCTGCATGGAGGCTTACTTAGAAGCTCTAGATGTTGGAATTCTTATAGCAGCCTCTCAAGGTTTCCCAAAACCTAGGAATCACACACACCTTCAAGGCGATGAGGTTAATTATGAGAAATAGAATGCAAAGGCTAAAAACACCATCGTTAGAGGCCTTTGCAAAGATATGTTTAATCGTGTGCGGAACCACAAGGACGTCCATGCACTATGGTCGGACATTTGTGCGCTCCATAAGGGAACAAAGAGTGAGCGTGAGGAATGCTATCATCTTGTCATGAAAAAGCTTAATTTATTTGAGATGCTTCCTAAAGAAAGTGCAAATAAAATATACTCACGCTTAAATGTTCTTGTAGTGGAAGTCAATAGGCTTGGACTTACACAAATGCAACCATCCGATGTTGTAAGAAAGATCTTGAGTGTCCTCCCCATTAACAAATATGGGCATATTGTGACCGTACTTCATCAAGGTGATCTTTCCACCGCTACACCAACTCAAATCTTAAAAAAGATCAATGCATATGAGATGTATATGCATATCACACTATAAGATGGCTCTTCTTCCACCAAGAAGAAAGACTTAGCATTCAAGGCTAGCTAAGAGAAGGGCAAAGCAAGAGTTGAATATGAGAGCTCAAGTGATGATTAAATCGATGATGCAAGTCGCTCTCATGGTGAGAAGAACCGTCAAGATGCTTAAGAAGCTCAACAAGAACGGTGTCAAGTTTGATGGCAAAAAGAAAAAGTTCTTCACTAGCAATAGAAGGAAGCCAATCTCAGAGATGGATTGCTATAATTGTGGAGAACTTGGTCATCTCACACATCAATGCCCCAAGCCAAAGAAAGACAAATACAAGAAGAAGTATAAGGGCAAGAAAGATGACTCAAGCAATGGGGATGATGATGAGAAGAAGAAAAACAAGCCATACAAGAAGAAAGATGGCAAGAAGAAGGATTTCAACAACAAGAAGAAAAATGGCAAGGCATACATCGTCGGTGATTGGTTCATGGATATTGATTCATCAAGTTGCTCATCCGATGATAATAGTGAGAATGAGAAGATGGACACTATTGTGATTGACTCTTAATCATCTTCACCGACACCACCGCCACCATCATCTATACACCTATGCCTTATGGCCAAGGGTGAACGAAAGGTATCAAATGATGATGAGAGTAGTGGTGATGATCATGCTAGCAATGATGATAATGATAGTGATGATGATGAATTTGAATTATCTTCATATGATGATCTGGTCAAATTGACAAATCAATACACTAAGATCATTAGAAAGACTAGAGCTAAGAATGAAAAGTTAGAACTTAAGAATGACTCTCTTTTAGCTAAATGTGACAGCGCGGAAAAAGCTAATGTCGAAGAAATATGGTCGGCAGTCTACCTAGGGGTATGCCCAAGGTAGTAGATTATCGGCAGACAGGTGCGCAAGCTACGAACGAGATGGTGACACAAGACAGACACGAGGTTTTATCCAGGTTCAGCCGCCGTGATGGCGTGATACCTACGTCCTGCGTATGATTGTATTGCTATATGTCAATGAGATTGTTTTTAAGAGGGGTCCCCTGCCCGCCTTATATAGTCTAGGGCAGGGTTACAGATCTGAAAACTAATCCTAACCGGTTACAATTGCCATAGGTGGCCGAATAAAGATTCCTACTCTAACCAATCAGGATCTTGCTTGATCTCCAAGTCTGCCTTGATTCCTTGCGCGGGACTCCGAGCAGATCGGCTGGGCCACGCGTCGTCTTCTGGTGGACCGAACTCCCTGGTCCGGGCCGGCCCAAACCTAGCCGTAAGGGTATAGGGGTTAATACCCCCACAGCTAGTCCCCGAGCGCCTTGTATCCTTCGAGTAGCGCCGTCTTGAGCTTGCCAGAAGGATGTAAGGAGCTCAAGATAAAATTTGAAAAATATTTTCCCCGAAGTGTGCCCACTTTGACTCTGAGTTGAAAAGTGACACGGTCGTCCTTGTAGAATCAGAGGCGTTTGAACCATCAGAACGAGCACATTCACCGCAAGGTGAAGTGTGCCCACTTAGTCCTCGAGCCTGGTAGTAGGTGACATAGGCGTGTGGTGCCAGGGTCTAAAAAGTCTTGTTAATTAGATACAACATGCACAGTCAGGTGCATCATACCGATGTAGTCCCCGAGCTTGCTGGAAGGAGAGGTATGAGCCTTGTAGCAAGGTCTAAAGGAGAAAAAATATCCCAACTGTATGCAAGTCGCCAGTCGCATGTAGTCGAGATGCGAAGTCCTCGAGCTGTGGTCGGAGAGTGGTCGAGGCAGTCCCCGAGCACAGGTCAAGGAGCGAGCGACGAAGTCCCCGAGCTGTGGTCGGAGAGTGGTCGAGGCAGTCTCCGAGCGCAGGTCAAGGAGCGAGCGACGAAGTCCCTGAGCTGTGGTCAGAGAGTGATCGAGGCAGTCCCCGAGCATAGGTCAAGGAGCGAGCGACGAAGTCCCCGAGCTATGGTCGGAGAGTGGTCGAGGCAGTCCCCGAGCACAGGTCAAGGAGCGAGCGACGAAGTCCCTGAGCTTTGGTCAGAGAGTGATCGAGGCAGTCCCCGAGCACAGGTCAAGGAGCGAGCGACGAAGTCCCCGAGCTGTGGTCGGAGAGTGGTCAAGGCAGTCCACAAGCACAGGTCAAGAAGCGAGCGACGAAGTCCCCGAGCTGTGGTCAGAGAGTGATCGAGACAGTCCCCGAGCACAAGTCAAGGAGCGAGCGACGAAGTCCCCGAACCGTAGCCAGAGAGTGGTCGAGGCAGTCCGTGAGCACAAGTCGAGGAGCGAGCGACGAAGTCCCCGAGCTGTAGTCAGAGAGTGGTCGAGGCATGTCCCTGAGCACAGGTCGAGGAGCGAGCGACGAAGTCCCCATGTGGCATATGCTTACAAGTTCAAGAACCACTGTTGCATTTAACTCTTTTTAAAAAAATTGTACCTTGACTTTTTGTCGAGCCTTGCGCTGATAGCTGGTTCATCTATTTTTTTTTAATAACCCTATTGCAACTGGTAAGAACCTGTAATAGGTAGATAGACTTTTTCAGTGCCGTGCATGGCAATTAATTTCGACTGATTTCGACCAACTTTCCAAAAGCTCAGTTTTAAGTACTTTGAGTTGACAAAATAATGCAATTTCAGCATCGTACCAAGTTAAAGTATATTAAGTTTAGGCAGTTGTATAGTGAAAATAGCAATATTTATAATATCAAATAAATTCATTAGGTTTGTCATGAAATATATTCTTCATACTATAATTTAAACATTAACAATTTTTCCCCGCCAGATTCAGCCACGACAACCTAGATGGAGAAGAGATGGCCCCGCCATCACGTTCATATATAGCACCCGTACGAGCTAGCGGCGTGCTTCGACAGCGGCGAGACAGAGCAAAGAGGAGGGGTTGGAGGGTTTCTAAGCCAAGAAGGGTTGGTTGGGGCAAAGGTCATTGGCGCGTTGCTCATGAGTGTGTTCTTTTAGTAGTTTTGGCATATTGATATCTAGCAATTGTGAACAAAAAATATCGATGTGCAAAACCATCCGGTGCTTTTTTGAAGATTAATTAATCCGCTCCAGCTGTTCATTGGGTCCAAATTATTGTTTTCCTAATTCGATGGACCTTTGCATATTCTCGAGGGGTAGAAAAGATGAATCTTCATATATTATGATCATGATTATATCATATAGTCTTTGGTCTTGGAGACGCAATTCAGCTTTGTCAAGAGTTGATAAGACAATTATGACGACATCAGGATCAGTCCTTTGATATCCGCAACTTTTACTTTAACGCTTTTTCTCGGTAGAAGCAAGGTATATATGCCAAAAGCTACCGCGGTACGGCCGTAAGCGTTTTCATTCATCGTCCTCAATCACATTCAGATGTATGCACCTAAAGATGGCAACGGGCCGCGATACCCGACGGATATTTGATCCATTAGAGAATGGGGATGGGATCATATCTTTACCCGTGGGCATAATCCATCCCCGACGGGTATAACGGGTACGGGAACGTTCCATGTTTACCCGTTCCCGTTACCCGTTAGGGAACCCGACTATTTGAGCTGTCATACGAGTATTAGGCCCAAAGAAGCTCAACATAGGTATTTTGACCCAAATCTGAACAATCATATATATAGTTTGTGTGTTCTAAGAATCCTAGTTTAATTTTTCCTCACCATCTCCGTCAGCAGCACAAGCACGCATGCCTCACGAGCGCTCGTGCCCCTCGCTTCCTCAGTTCGGTCTCTCTGCCACCTTTGCTCGTCCTCCTCGCAATCTCGCTCCTTCTCCTCGGCATCTCCGAGACTCTGACACTTATACCCGGGTGAAGAAGAAACGTCTCCGATTGCAAAGCTGCGACCCCAAGTGTCCTTGTTTATCGGATATGCAGTACCCGTTGGGTATCTGTTACCCGACCAATGACCGACGGGTACGGAAATGGGCAAGAATCTATACCCGAGACAGTTAATAAGGACAGAGACGGGATGAATTCTTCGTAGCGGGGAAAAGAACGTTCTGGCGATACCCGACGGGTACATCCCATTGCCATCCATACATGCACCTCACGCGACACGCGTGCTTTGTGGATTTTGAATGACTCAGTTTAACAAATTTGTTTTTTTTTTTTGGTTTTGCGCAAGCAGTTCAACAACTTTGAAAACAATTATTTCGTTTCACTGCTGATTTCTAAAAACCACCGGAGTACACGCGCGTCGAAGCCAAAGCTAAAAAATACATGTAGCAAAAGAAAGCATGACAGACAATTAAGGATTCAACGAAGCGACGAGGCCAATGGAGCTGGACGGCTCGATCGATCAGTCTAGCTGTCGGCGACGACGGAGCGGATGACCATCTCGCCTTCTGCGGCGGCGGTGGCGCCCGTGACGATGGTCGCCTGGCAGAAGACGATCTTGAGCTCCCCGGGGGCGCGGCAGCTCTGCGGGACGGGCTCGACGTCGGTGGGCGTGGTCCTGGTGAGCGGGCACCGGTTCTTGAAGTACTCCGGTGGGCCACGGCACGCCGCACCCTCGGCGGCGCGCTGCGGAGGAGGGCAGTCGCAGTTGAGGTCGACGGGGCACCCCAGCGCGGGGCACTGCCCGCCGCCGGCGATCGCCTGCGGGCTGACCACGACGGGCACGTTGAAGCCGTCGACGAGGCTCACGCTGTACGCGGCCTGGTCCAGGCTCCCGCCGTCGTGGACGGTGACCTGCACGACGGTGGCGGGCGGCGCGGCGCCCGTCCAGCATCCCGACGCCGCGGCGTCGCAGCCCGTGCGCGCCGCGACGCGGCCGGCCCAGAAGGTGGGCGGGAAGGTGAGGGAGAGCAGCGCGTTGGGGTCGAGGCGCGCGGTGTTGTCGGAGATGGAAGGGAGGCCCGAGTTCGGGGTCACCAGCGGCCACACCGGGTGCGGGCAGAGGTTGTGGATGGTCAGCGTGGTCGCCGTCGTGGCGCCGGCGCTGGCGGCGAGGAGAACAGCGACGAGGACCAGGGTTCTGGCCATGGCCTTAACCTTCAGTCCTTGACAGAGCTGTGAGCTCGCTATAGCTGGTCGTGTTGTTAGGCGTGAGTTTGTGACACAATGGCAAAACATCAGACAGGTCTGCCTGGCTTTTATAGGCGAGCTTAGTGATGTGACGACGTCCATGAGAAGGGTCAAATTAGAGAGAAAGACCTTTAATGCTAGTACTAGTAGATTAACGGCTATGGTTTTCAATATACTCCTACAAGAGCTTGTATCGACAATCGTTTTATTTAATCAAAACGGGGGAAAAGAAGAGGTGCATAGCAGCACACAACTTGAGGAGGGAGGACATGGACAAAAGTAAAAGCAAGAGAACAAGTTCGCTTCTTTACACTTTGCTGAACTGAATGTGTGTTCACAAGTTTGCTTGATTCGATTCCATGTTTAGCTAAAGTAGAGAAAAGAAAGAGCTCACTCTTAACGAACAGCTTGTGCTTATGCTCAAATCTGCAGTCTGCACTGAGGTTAGCAAGCTATGAGGACATGGACAAAAGTAAAAGCAAGAGAACAAGTTTGCTTCTTTACACTTTGCTGAACTGAAGGTGTGTTCACAAGTTTGCTTGATTCGATTCCATGTTTAGATAAAGTTGAGAAAAGAAAGAGCTCACTCTTAACGTACAGCTTGTGCTTATGCTCAAATCTGCAGTCTGCACTGTGGTTAGCAAGCTGAGAGCGTAAAACGAAAGACCATTCACACTTCACCATGGTATTCTCATATGCTCAACAAATGATATGATATGTTGGTAGCAGAAAGCAGATCTCCACACCATAGTACAATTCATAAACTACACCCAACTCGATTTGCCTCTGCCAACCCCTGAAAAAACCACTTCAAAGACCTACATAACTCTTTGTTTCTTCACCCGCCCAGCTCCTGATAAACCGAAATGGAGCAGCATGTATGTGGATTACCAAAAACAACGTGTGAAAAACCACAAACACCCGCTGCTCCGATAACACCCAGAAATAAACCAATGCACGCAGACTTGACTTGTACAAATAGCGTGCGGTAGCAGACCGGATAGGACACAAGTTTTGCCCCAAAACAACTCTTACAAAACATACCGACCATGAATGAAATGCAAAGACAATGAAAGTGGATAAAGGGAAAAGAATGCTAGGAAATTAACAGCCTACTACCAGCAGGGAGGGGTATGTCTGACATAAATGGACTTGGCCACCCTGATCGATAAAAAAATAATCCTGTGACAATCCGTTTGAGCCCACTCTTGCTTACTGGAGCAGCAGCAAGCAACTGGGCCTTTTGTCCCAAGTGACAATCCGACCAGAGTTCGATGCATGGGATGAATGCAGGGGGGAATGATAGGCCACAGTTTTTAGGCATGCCATGCCAAGGAAACTGTCAGCATGTCATGCGACAATAGAAGCTCATCTCACCTCCAATAAGAAATGAAGGTTGCAGATGCCTTCAGCAAAAGTTAGCAGGCGGCCAACTTGAACCCTCTTTTCTCGCAGATGCGGGAAGCATGGGTTGACACATGTACTGGATGCATGAGTTAGTGACGACCCTCCGACTCTGCTGTAAAGATGTTGGGCTTCTCCGAAGAGCAGGTCTGGACATGATGCAATCAACGACCCAGACAAGATGACATGCGGATGGATGCAAGTGCAGACTCGAGACTCAGTGTGGCATCAACCCGAAACTGCACGGCTGATTGCTATCCTCGCCCACTCGGCAGATTCTTTCACCAAAGGATCATCTGATGCCAAGCATTCCTCTAAAAATGCCTGGCTTGAGGTGGATTGATTGATCAACGGGCCAGCATGGACACCCAATGTGTCGGCCAGATCTCCCAAGACACCTATTGCAGTCTTCATCACAGTATCATCCCTGCAAAAGAGGTATAACATCATAAAGCATTAGGTCAACAAAAACAGATGACTCATATAAGTTAGACAGCAAAGGTAAAGAATCAGAGTGTGAAGTTTTGGCGTACATATCCTTTCCATTGTACAGAGCATCAAGGAACTGAATAATATGTGGAGCATATGGCATCAGTAGTTGTGTCTTGGGTGAAGTCTTAAATCCTTGCAGGATACCAGAGTAGGCTTCCAAGATTCCATTCCTTAGCTGGTTGGTGTAGTCGAGCATCTCATCATCAGTTGCGGTGGTATGGGCCGACAAATCAGCAGCACTTTGCAGCATAGGCATCGCATAGATCAAATACTTCTCGAAGTTCTCCCCAATTGCCAGTGCAATATCACCAAAGCACGAAAATATCGGTGGTTTCACAGATCTGTGCAACTGGTTACTGGACAGGTCCTTCAGGAGCTGGGTCATGATGCCATCACAGAAGGGTAAAATTTTGTCTTCCAGTGCTCTGCAGAGATCACCAACAACGCCCACGGTAATGGCACACACCTGATACTCCTCAAAGTTCTGAAGTCCCATCTCCAAATACTGATAAAACTGTGACATGTACTTTGCAAAGTTTGGACCAGCTGCATATGCCAATGCACCAATAGCAAGCATAGCCTCTTCGTGCACTGTGGCATTTCGACATGCAAAAACTCTCAAAAACAGATCCATCATCTGATCAGCATACTGCAAGAAAGAGTACTTAGTTGACTCCATCCCTCCCAACTTTTGGATAATGACCTGCAAGCAACCACAAAGGAGGCCCTGCAGTTCGCTCCTCTTCTCCCTCTCATCAGTTGACAGCTTTTCGGCTTCAAGTGTCTGATGGAGCTCCACCATGATCACAGGTACTAACTGCATAACAATAGGGGCCGTCTCCTCAGTGGAGCACCTGACAACTTCATTTAGGGTCTCATATGCTGCTGTTCGCAGCCGAGATTCTCCAGCATCCTCCCTGTGAGTGACCATAAGAAGGTTCTGAACAATATCTTGAAAGAAAGGGGATAATGGTGATGCAGATCCAGCATCCACATAGCCTTGTGCAAGGAAATAGAGGGCCCCACATGCCTTTTCTGCCACATTTGGGACATCCTTCATGCTGTGAAGCAGCACAGTAAGTATTTGCTGACAATTCTCGGACGTGATGATAGGAGGAGTTTCAAGTGCTGAACCATGAAGGAACTCAAAGATTCTCCCAAGTGTCCAAGCAGTTGTGTCCTTTACATGGTTACTGGGATCCTTCATCAGCGCGGACAGCATGAAGCCCAACGCAACATTAACAAGAGGAGCCAGTTTATCAGCTGATGGGCCCTCCAAGATAGACCCAAAGGCATATGTTGCAGCCTCTCTCTGTCTCCACTCAGACTTGGTTATGTTCTCCTCCACAAAAGGCATTACAAGAGGAACAATGTCATCACCAACAGTCCTTGCCACCAGGCCCAAACAAGTTCCCCCAGCCATTGCAAGATTCCAAGCACCTTCATCCAAATCTTGGTCTTCCTCTTGCTTGAGGAGAGTTTCCAACAACATCGGCACCAAGGCAGGAAGAGCCTGCTTGATAAAGTAGTAGCATGGAACATCAGAATCAGCTGTAAATTCACTGCTGTACTCATCCAGAATGTCAATTTCCTCATCACAAATGGAACTCCAGAATTCAATAGCCTGGAGTGCAACTGACTCCTCATCTCCCTCACAGCTTTTGCAGTTATATTAAATATATCCTGCATGTATGTTGCCAGCTTATCATAATAAGTAGACGATATAGCCACCAAACACTCAAAGGCAGCCTGCCTTATCTTCACCTCGGAGACTGAGTCGCTTCACAAACTACTCTCATGATATAGTCACGCTCCATGTCATTCGAGAAGTTAACCTGAGCAAAGCCCAAAGCATTATACAATGCCCGTGTAGCTGCAAGCCTCACATCAGAGTTTGCCTCAGAAGCATTCATACCCTGAACAACAGCTGTAAGTATTTTATTGACTTGGTCTTGGTCAACAGCATCTGGAGAAACTTCCTCACATAAATAGCCAAGTGTTTCAAGAGTTGCTTGCTTGACATTTGGCTGGACCTGATGTATATTTGCGAGCAATGATCCTATAAGCTCTGGCCATTGCTTCTGCGGAATCTCAATACCAGCAACCTTGGCAATAACTTGGGAAGCAGTGGACCTGGCACTTGCAACAGGAGATGTGAGAGTTTGCAGCAACAATCCTTTAATTTGTGCCTTGGCACCAGCATCCAGTGCCAGCCATCTCTGGAAAAGCTCATTCTTCCTGTGCTGCTCCTTTGCATCCAGTGCATTCTTAAGAATCAAGCCAGCTAACCTGCGGCTCTCCTCAGGTTTCTCTTCATTGGCCAACTCGCTTGAAAGGGAGAGCAAGAATCCAGGGAGGTTCTGCTCCTGGAATTGCTTGAGGCTTTCTTCAGCATGTTTCCTAATTGCGCCATCAGCAGATTGTGCACTTAAGAGAACTTGAGTAACGTCGAGTGACATATTGACTCTGTGAATACCACAACAGGGAGGAATCAGAATAAATTTGTGGCACAAAACCATATGCACCAGCAAAGGGTAATTTAATCCATCCAATATAAATTAGACAACAACAAAAGTGCTCTGCTTGTAAAGCCCAACAAACACCAAACTGCTCCATGTAAAGCCAAACAGACAACAACAAAAGTGCTCTGCTTGTAAAGCCCAACAAACACCAAACTGCTCCATGTAAAGCCAAACAAGACATATCGCACCAAATTGTTATATCATGTAAAGTTAGACAAATATACAGTCATTATTGCTAGGCATATCAATGCTAAACAGTGAAAACAGAGGAACGAAATTAGCATGCCCTGTATTGTTGTAGCCACGAAATATGGTAATTCATTAGTAAGCATACCCACACAAATTGGAGAAATAATATCATGTCAGGAAAGCATGATAGATTCTTATACTAGTCCAGTAAAGGAATCAAGATGCCATATGAACAACAATGATCCAGTACTAGTCATCGGTGCACATGTAACCCCTTATTGGCACACGAGATCATAGACAAATTAGCAGTATAACAAGTTAAGAACCTAATACTCTTCGGCATGAATCTTATTCAGCTCGCCCCAATAAACAAGAACTGACATTCGGATTGCTAGACTGTGTTTCGTGGTCTACAATCTAACACTGCAAACTATAAACCAACGAAGCTAGAGTTCTCCAAGCAAGCAAGCAAACGTATGTGGCCTCAAAAAACTAAATGGTTGCAGTAAAATTCGCCAGCTGTAGAAATTACTACTTAACAGACACTATACCGATACTACAATCAATATGGGAGGTACTATAGGACATAATTGCTCCCTTTACAGAATTTAGCAGGTGGCACTACCACAAGTAACCGAACAAGAGTACTCTGAAGGAGCTACGTTATACACAGGAACTGTAACGAAAACAGTAGGAATAGCACGTGGAAGTTCATGTGACAGATTCACTAGAAACAATCAATTATACAAAGTGAGTGCTAGGAATACAACGCTAGAGTTCTCCAAGCAAGTAAGCTAACGTGTGTAGCCTTACAAAACTAAATGGTTCCAGTAAAATTGGCCAGCTATAGAAATTACTGCTTAACAGAAACTATACCAAAACTACAATCAATATGGTAGGTACTATATACGACAAATTTCAGAATTTAGCAGGTGGCGCTACCACAAGTAACCGATCGAGAGTATTCGGAAACCAAACAAAAGTACTCGGAAGGAGCTAAGTTATACACAGGAACTGCAACGGAAATGGTAGGAATCGGTAGGAATCGCACGTGGAAGTTCATGCGACAGATTCCCTAGAAACAGCCAACTATACAAAGTGAGTGCTAGCAATAGCACGTGGAAGTTCATGCGATAGATTCACTAGAAACTACTATCAACTATACAAAGTGAGTGCTAGGAATAGAACGTTGCAGCTCATGCGACAGATTCACTAGAGACAATCAATTATACAAAGTGAGTGCGCATCAGATTCATCAACGCCCAACACAGCCTACTCTCCTCGACGACGCCACTGACTACTCCCCCGCAAACGAATCTAACTCCACACGCGCAGAAATCGCCCGGCTGACCAACTCTAACCACAAAGACCGACTCAGATCTAGCAACCCACGTGGCAACCAATCACGCACAGCGAAGACAAGAGCGAGCACCTAGCCGCCGACGAACTGACGGATCGAGACAACCGAAACCACACGCAAAGTGGTAGCGCAGATCGGGCCCGGAGATCCGGGAGCGGATCGAGACCGGCCCGCTAGATCCAACTGGAGAGAGAGAGACTAGGGTTTTGACCTGCCACTTACGTTGCTGGACGAGGAGTCGAGACCCCCGAGGCGTACGGCCTGAGCGGAGCGGGAGGCCTCAGTCGACCGCGGCGGACGGTAGGAGGGAGCGCGCGGCCGGTGACCCGATCGGCGACGCGCAGGCGCGTGGGGTGGAGGAGGGAGGGCAGGCGTGGAGGCGGGGCGGCGGCGGCGGAGGTAGAGAGGAGGGCGAGGCGAGGAAATCAAATAATAATGCGGGGAAAAGAAAAGCAGGGCATCTTTGGTGAGGTGGGACGTGGGGAGCGGGTTGGGCGCGGCCTGTGGGTGGATGGTGACCGTTGGATCTGGCACGGATGGCTGTGATGGGGGCGAGGGTTTTCTGATTGGGTTGGGCGATTTTTTTTTTAATGGTTTTCGTGTGGGTTTGGTTATTGCCTTGTATTGGCTTTGGACGCTACCGTGGGGTTGGTTTTGACAGACAAGTTGGTTTTGCGGTCGGTTTCCCGATGCGGCTTAAAGCACTCTACCTTCCTAGTCTGAACCAAGCTTGAGTACACGTACATTACGGATGTATTTGAAGATGATTCTCATTAATTGGGTGCGTTTGGCAGAGGCTTAGATTTTCGTAGAAACGTTTCAGATTTAACTAAAAAAAATTGATGATGAATCAGAATCATTTCGTGGAATCGTTTGGCTGGTAAATCGGATTTCGATTCAAAAAACTGTAAATAAAAATAAGTTCAAAAAACTGTAAACTTTTTTGGATGAAGAACAACTTAAATAAAAACCACTTTAACTTGTTGCACTAAAAAAGAATTAACTGAAAAGGGGGGAGGGGAGTAAGAAGCAATGAGATAAGAATCAGCGTGAAACCAGTCTCATGTCGTTTCACATGCGTATGCAGAAACGGTTAAACGTTTCGGTTCCGAATCACCTGCTGGAAAGACCGTTTAGAAATGATTCAGGTGATTCTCATCAGAAACTGAAACGTTTCTTCTATCCGAACACACCCGTAGATTCCTGGTAGAAAAAAACATGAAACTGAGTTTTATTTTAGAGCATGTTAAATGGTTAGTTGGTTACCCGTCGGGTGCTGCATGCTAATGTCGTAAATATTTAAAGTACTATTTTGTCAAACCATTAAGATTAATTTGTATTTTCTTGCAAAAAAGATAAATTTATATTTCTTATTTTTTTAATATGATAATTAAAAACTAGGTTGGTAGAGCTCCACGATTGCTTATTTTCAGTAATCATATGACTAAAAGTTATTCTTTTATGATTCTCTAGAATAATGATTTAAGCATGAAGTGAACTGAGGCAGGCTAGTTTTTTCTCAACTCCTGCATACTTAGCTCATTTAGAAAATCGCTTCATAGATGTCTTTGCAAAGTTCTTTTGACACAATCAACCTAAAGACACTTTTGAGCTCCACGAAAGTATCTAGGTCCCTAGTTGGGTTTTGGTGATTAATGACAATACGAGATTACTATGACTAACGTGTGTTTTGCAGAGGTGGTTAAGTTAGGTCATGGTAATAGCAATTGATTGGGCAATCATGGTTGTCATACCCCTACGATGAAAATCGTTTTGGTTTTCAAAGGATAGATGACAAGGTTAAGAATGGACTAGTTCTAAGTGTCGTTTGGTGTTGAAGAGACACTTAGAGTAGTTTAGGACTTTGTTTTTCCTTTGGCCGTACTATTAAGGGGGGTATGGACTAGTAGCTTGACCTAGGTGAGTCAAGTGGGTTAGGTGTGGTGCACACTTATCAAATCTAGCACTAGGTAGCTCTGAGTAGCCCTAAGATCAATTGGAGCAAACTTTATTCATATATGATTTCGAGTTGAAAGTAAATGAATGGTCAAATATTGACCAGACGCTAGTCTGGTTGTGACCCCGGACGCTGGCAGCAAAATCCGGTCAGTTCATTTGATCAAGTTGAAGTCGTCTGGTTACGACCGAACGCTGGGTGCCAGAGTCCGGTCAACTCCAGAAAAGTTCCAGAGAGGGAGAATCCTAATTGGACGCATCCAGTCAGTGTTGACCGGACACTGGTCAGGTTCCGGTTACTGACCGGACGTTGAACAGCAAAGTGACCAGACTCTGGGTGCCAGTGTCCGGTCAACATTAGTAAGGTTCCAAAGAGCAGTTTTCGTGACCGAACGCGTCTGGTCAATGCTGACCGGACACAGGTTAGAGTTCGATCACAACTTAACTGCTCTATGGCGGGGATAACTGACTGAAGCGGCCGATCACCCCACAGAGTGCTGACTCAACCTCCTCACGATTCGTTTTGAATGAGGGGTATAAATACTTCCTCTATTCATTCAAGGAAGGACTCTTGCCTATTTGATCAGCTGTAAAACACCTTTGTGAGTGCTAAGGAGAGCCAGAGCCTAGTGAGATGATTGAGATTTGAGAATCCAAGATTAAGGCCTCATTAGTGCAAGGAGAGTAGCAAGTGTGCATCTACCCTTCTCATTAGGCTTGTTGTGGTCAAGTGAGAGTTTATGCTTGTTACTCTTGATGATCGCCATCACCTAGATGGCTTGGTGGTGATCGGGAGTTTGGTGATCATTCGACGGAGCTTGTGGATGACTCAACTCAAGTTGTGAGCGGTTGTGGACGATTCACCACGATGAAGTGTCGAAGAATCAACCCGTAGAGAGCACTTGATTCTTACGCGGATCAAGGGAAAGCTACACCCTTGCGCGAGTGCTCCAACGAGGACTAGTGGGGAGTGACGAGTCTCCGATACCTCGGTAAAACATCACCGCTTTCTTTCTCCTCTGTTTACTTTAAACATTTATATTTGAGCAATTCATTTTTTGTCTTTACATTCTTAGAATTGCCCTGCTAGAGTAGGATTCAAACTTAGAGTGCTAAACTTTTATGTGGTAGATCAATAGAATCACTTTTTAGACACAAGGAGTGAAGTGGGCTAAGTATAGGATTTAATTATCGCAAAGAATTTTAGAATTAGCCCAATTCACCACCCCTCTTAGGCATCTTGATCCTTTCAATTGGTATCAAAGGCTCATGCTCACTAATTAGGCTTAACCGCCTAGAGAAAGATATCCCACAAGGATGGACCTCCTGCTATCTTTGAGGGAGATGATTTTCCTTACTGAAAAATCTGCATGGAGGCTTACTTAGAAGCTCTAGATGTTGGAATTCTTATAGCAGCCTCTCAAGGTTTCCC